CAACTTCCTACGGAAGATGACATGTTGGATCCCAAAGCAATCTGTATCAGCCAACTCACAACTACTGATTATATTTACTTTACTCACACCGCTCGTGTCTGACTGAGGACTAACTGCTGAATTCCTCCAGAGGACCGTTTGTTACGCTGGGCCTGCCTTGGAGACGATCACATATCACACAGTAAAATCCAAAGTCAAGAGAGAGGCTAGTGAATAGCTCCCCAGTTAGGCAAGCTGTGACACTATCGAACCAGAAAGACAGTGTTTTCTTAGATGTTAATGCCCATTAATTGCCTTGGAAAAATGGTATATACCAGAAAATAAAGCTCCACATCATTCTGAAAGAGAAAGGATCTTAAAAGTGGCATTGTCGAGTTCAATTGGAATATTTCCTTCGAAGAACTCCCAAGAAATCTACTATATTAAGCCAACAAACACCAAAGCATTTTATATAAGTATCACTTTCCTGTGTTTTAATTCAAACTTTGCACATAGAACAAAAAAGTGAAACAATTCCATTTTTCAAATCAAATGCAACTTGAAAAGAAGCACCTAAATAGGATCACATTTTCTTAGTTTATACTATTTTCTTCTCCGTGCTTAAAACTGCTTTGTAACCAATGTTTTTTTTTTAGATTCAGTTTTGAGATGATTGTTGTACCTGGCACAGGATGCAGAGTAACGGTGCCCTCGGGAAAAGAGCAGAGAGGAATGTTCAATACTGCCCTGGATTCCCTGCCCAAGGTGCCCTCCTTGCCTGGGCAGGGGTAGGTGGGGGACCTGCCCCCATCCCCCCCAGCACCAGAGCTACTCACCCGGGTCACTGCCTCCAGCACAGAAGCCACAGGAACTCTGGGGAGGAGCTGGAACTAAGGTACAAGTCCTTTCAAGGAGCAAGCAAACGAGAGAACAGGAAAGGAAAATGGAATATGAATGGCTGCACAGACAGGTCCAAGCAAGTCAAGTAGCAAGTGGGAGCTGATAACCACAGAACCAAGAAGACAGCAAGTGCAAAGGTGACCCCAAGTGACAGAAAAAGCTAACGTCACCCATTTCCACTATACTGGAGTGCGGACGCTGTCCACCACGTACTGAATTTTTAACTTTTAAGCCTCAACGCCAGGGCTGGCAACTAAAAATTAGAAGTGTGATAGCTGCGTTTTGGCTGCAATGACATCTCTAATTAAACTCACACCAACTCCACCGACTGCTCCAGGGAGCTGCGGCAGCACGGCTGGGGGAGCGCTCCTCTCCCAACACATTCACGTCAAGACAGACTGCTGGTGGCTTGTACACAGAAAGGAAGTATCTCAGGCTACATGGGTAACAAGCACATCACTAGATTATAGGTTAGGATATGAAACACCTTTAAAATTCATACTGCGTGAATTTTCTAACTGAAAATACAAAACAAAAGCTGCTTATGTTGCTATCAAGAGTCTACAGGTCAGTACGTAATCTTAACACATACCGTAAAGTGAACGCTTTTCCCAGTCTCTAAAATAAAATAAAAATAAAATAAATACTCATTTGGGAATCTGCACCTGCTGAGTTTCAACTGGGCTGTTTCAAGGAGAGTGAGAAATGGACACGGAATACATTAAGATCAGCTATTCCTACAAGGCTCTTTCTCCACGAGTTTGCTACTTGCATTGAGCAGCATCAAGCCTACAGTGTTTTAAAAAAAGAACAGCGATCCGTTAGATGCAGGTTTTAACACCCAGCAAGAGTGATTCAGTCTGACTGCACAACGCAATCTGTTAAGGGCGTGCACCGTTTCAGGACTGGAAGGTCCATTCAGAAAACCTGAGATAAATGGCACGTGGATTGCTGAGATGACACGCGGAACGTCACAAACCAAAGGCGAGGAGCATTATTTCAGACAGGACGAGATGCAAGAACTTCCTGCAAACTCAAGCAAGAGAGAAGCTGAAAGGTGATTTAAAATTTAAAAAGATCAGTTGCTGGATAGATATCCTAAATTTGGTTAAGATTGACTGAATAAGATAACTAAATTTTCAAATCCATCTGATAAAAGACTACTGCAGTTATTTAGGATCCAAAGCTGCATCCGAGCTTCTCTCTTCCCTGCTCCCCCCAGCCCCAAACAAGGCAGGGAGGTCTCTTTGGTTCACCCTTTGTGAGATCTGTCTCACCACTGCACCCCGCTCACACCAGACAGCACTATGCAGCGCACTCCCGTTTCCTTTTCTTAGTCAAACAGATCACAGCAGCTGCAAAATGATTCTTTCTGGGCTGCAACATGCACGATGAAGAAAATGCTCCGAGAAATGTAGCACCCCCGGGGCAGGAGGCAGAGCAGGAGCAGAGAGATATGCAGGTGGGAGGGGGAATAGCAAACGTGGCATGAAAGGGGACAATAAGCAGCACTGGGTCATCGCGATTACAGAACATCCACAGTGGTATTTGTCTGCTCCAAACATGCTACACAGAGTACCAACCCAGAGCTTCTAGTATTGGGGGAAAAAAAAAAAAAAAAAAAAAAAAAGA